AATGCTCTCAGTTAAGAATCCCTGGGTTAAGTTGTTCTCACTCTTTCCAATACTCCTCTTATGCTCTTATTAGGAAATTTTACATATTTGCACATGTATAAACTCTGTTGATAGGTAACACCAGTCTTATGTGTAGCAGGGCAATTCTACTGGAAAAGTCACCTTGCAATCTTCCTTTTTTTCTTTTGCATTAGGTCCATACAAAAAGAAGAGTTATCGTATCTTCATTTACTGTCTTTGCCTTTTCTATACAATTTGTTGCTTTTCTTTCTGCCAACAAGAATGTCCTTCCTCTCTTGCAAGAAAAAAGGTTGATTTCCAACTAGTTCTTCAATTTCATTACCACTAGCAGTTGTGATGGCCACGTTGCTTTACCTGCTATGAGTGCCTACATCAACTTAATGTAGTAAGTAGCTTCTAGTCCAAGAGTTATAGTAAAAAAGAAACAGGTATATCTTCTAATTTAGGATTCTGTCTTGGAAGAAAATACAGTGAAAATAATAAACGGCTTTCATTTTAGACAACCCAGGGTTCAAAACCTTCCTTTGACATTTACCATGTGTACCCATTTTGGTCAAAGTTTTTTGTGGATGCAAAGAACCAAACTAGCTCAGGTAAAAATTGGGTTTCATTGCAGGATAAAAGAGGCAATTTCATCGTCATGTCATCAGAATCAAAGGCTTTTTTCTTCAATGCTTAGAAGCAACACATTTTCTCTCATTTTAGCTTCGAAACAGCCCAATATGGCCAACACTTGCACTCTATATCATATTCACTCCACTCAATCTCTCAATGATCCAATTCCATACTTTCAGAGGAGAACCCGGGTTGGCAGGGCTCATCTCAGTTTAAATAGAACGCTTAATGTCAGGTCATCCCATAAACCACTGTTCAGCCTATGGATTAAATGTACTGGAGTCGGCAGCCCATCTTTATTCTAATTAGGTATGCCCCAGGGTCAGCATCCTAAGTACAAAACACAGCCAGGTTTCTGTGGATGGGGTTGGGGAAAAGCTATGCAATAATTGAAAATTCCAGTACAGTGACTCTGGGCAGTTACTTAAGCTCAGTCTGGGTTTATCTGTAAAACGATGATGATAATAATATCTCATAGGAGTTTTGAGGATTAAATAGTATAAATGGGGCAAGCTTCCATTCTTGTGCCTCAAGAAACAGAACTTCTCCTTTAGAGAACCAGAATCAAAAAGTACTGTTGGTACATTAGTATGCTTGGATTTAAAATTAAGATTACGCAAAATCCAGGGATCTGGTATTTAAACTTGAAAACTCATTTATATAATGGTTGTTTATATTTCCTTTTTTTCACTATAAATATAGTAAATGCAAGAATGAGAGCACCCATTATATTTCAGTAACTCTCCATGTTAAAATAATTACTCTAAAGGAATTCTGCTGGATACCTAGTTCCCTTATTTCCATACTTTATAGCATACCTTGTTTATGTAATGTTCTTATAACAAGCCAAGGGCTCTGACATTCTCTGTAGGTATATGAATGCCCTGCCCTGACCCTGCCTCAAACCTCCCTTCTCTGCAAGTCTGTGGTCTCCTTCAGCCAGTCAAAGTCAATTAGTAGAGATTTATGGTCTGGACTCATGAATACTGAATTGAAATCAACATCTGCAAATAGGTCCCTAGGTTTCCACTGATCTATCACCCTGGAAAAATCACTGAAGATTCTGTATTCTGTTTATTTATTTAAAGTCCTTTAGGCCAGAAATACGAATATATATTCTCCTATAGAGTGATTTACGTTTAAAATATTGATTAGTTTCACAAACTGCACTACCAGCCTATGGTCAGGTGAGTAATACCAAATTAGTATATGATGACATTCTGGAACAAAATAATAAGAGCATTATATATAACATAGTAAGACTGAGTGAACTGGAATGTAATTATAGAATTGTTTTGTTATTTTAAAAAGGCATTGAATGATTTAATGAATATTATTTTTAAAGGATTCTAGAAATTGTCTCTTTGTTTTGGTATCCCCTGAAATGTTTAAAAACTAATCATTAACCCTCAGTTTACCACTGGGTTCCATGGATCCACTTTTAGGTTTCAGTTCCTTTTCTGAGCAGTTCTCAGTATTTGTACAAAGTAGCATTCTATGATTTATCTTTTCTTAAAAGTCTTTCAAATACCGAGAAAATTTACTTATTTAAAAAAAACAATAAAATGATCTCTATTTTGCAATTACTGGAGAAGTGCAATGAACCCTTTCATAAATCTAAGATGTATTATAGAACTATTGCAATATTTTTATATTTTCTGTATCTTGAAACATTTTGCCATTTCATTGTTCTAGGAATTATTTCATCATTATTCATCAATTATTCCCATTTGTAATAAAGAGAAATAAAAATAAGAAAACAATGATCTAAAGGAATGATACAATAAATTATCATCGTTGACCTTCTTTACTGTGCTATACAACGTATTATGTCACCTCCAGAACGTATAAAAGAAAACTGAAAACACTATTTTTGTAACCTGTTTTTAGTTTTCATTAAACACAGCTGAGAATATTTTTTCATTTCTGCCTATTCAGCATTAGCAAAGTATAGACAACTGACAGAGGAAGACATTTTACAACTGTTAGAGAAATCAAAAGATGAATGCTGTGGTAGGCTAAAAAAAATAGCCTCCCAAAAATATTCACTTCCTAATTCCTGGGACCTGTGAATATTACTTTCTATGACAAATGAGTGAAAATTACCTTATATGGAAAAAGATATGATTAAGATAAGGGTTTTGAGAGGAGTTTATTCCAGATTATCCAGTTGGACGCTAAGTGCAATCACATGCATCTTTTTAAAAGAAAGGTAGAGGAAGTTTTGAGAGAGAAGAAAAAGCAGTATAACTATGGAGACACAGAATGGAGTGGCATGGCCACAAGCCGGCAGATGCCTACAGCCACCAGAAGTTGGAAGAGGCAAGAAATGGATACCTAGAGTCTTTGAAGAAATCACAATCCAACACCTTGATTTTGGATGTGTGGCCTCCAAAAATGCAGGACAAAAAATTTCTGTTGTTTTAAGTCACCCAGTTTGTCATTACTTGTTATGGCAGTCCTAAGAAACTAATACAAATGCAGAGACACATTCTACACTCTAGATGATAAAACTGATCATATATGAAGTCTCAGATGAATCTTCAGAAAAATATATCCTAGGTGAATTTCTCAAACTTAAGAATCAATGAGTGAACAATTATTTCTATGCGCAGAAGGAAAAATGATATTATCACAGAGTTAATCATTTTAGTAGGGAGAACTTACACCCAATATTTTACAAGTATCTAGACTATCTGTGTTGCTGTAAGGATTCTCTCAGTTTTTTATGTCTGTCAGTCAAACATTACTTGATACAAAGATAGTTACCATGCTTACATTTTTACTAAAATTTTAAAACAAAGTTGTTTTACACAATCCCTTTTAATCTTACTTAAAAAATATTGATAAAGTGATTTAAAAATATTTGTCTGTGGGTACACATTTGTGTGTATGAGGCTGTCTATGAAACCTAGATGGTCAACAGTGACTTAAAAACATGTTCTACATGCAGTCACTCTGGATTTTATAAGCTTGTCTGCACAACATATGGCAACATTGTAATTCTAGTGGTGAACAGTAGCAGTAGCAGCAGCAGCAACTCTCTCAAATTGGCTCACTCAAAGTGCTATTCTTCTTAAAGGCGTCTATCCAAACACTGCTCTACAGAAGCCATTTTTAAAGCAAATTCTGGCCTATTTACTATCCAAGAACCTTTTGTGGACACAGCATTATACCAAATACTACAGAACTAAGATATTATTTTTATTAAAAAAAAATAAAAATCAAGGAAATCTCTCATAAAAACTGACTGTCCTAGGGATTATCTTCCACTCTAAATCTGGACCATAATATTTTCCTACCAATCTGTAATTTCTCAGTAACCACAAATGCAAATTAGAAAATGATACCTTAATCTTATGAATGAACAAGACACACTATGATTCTAGTCACAATTGTCTGTTTCTCTGACTGAATGCAAGAGCTTCGACTTAAAAACAGCAGCACTCGGCCAGGCGTGGTGGCTCACAGCTATAATCCCAGAACTTTGGAAGGCTAAGGAGGCAGATCACCTGAGGGTTAGGAGTTCGAGACCAGCCTGGCCAACATGATGAAACCCCACCTCTATTAAAAATACAAAAAAATAGCTGGGCATAGAGGTGGGCACTTGTAGTCCTAGCTACTCAGGAGGCTGAGGCAGGAGAATCACTTGAACCTGGGAGGCGGAGGTTGCGGTGAGCCAAAATCACGCCACTGCACTCCAGCCTGGGAAATAAGGGTGAAACTCCATGTCTGTCTCTCTGTCTCTCTCTTCCCCCCCCCCCCATATATATGTATATAAAATACAAAGATAGCAGCACACAACATCTACTTACATTTAACTACATCAATATTAGTACCATGGGAAACTGTCATCTGTTACTAAAGATATAAAACCTTACTAAAATTTCATTTAGGATACTTATAGACTATATGATATTTTCTCCTTTAGTAATCCCACCTTCTTTGTGGTTCTTAGATGGCCATAACTATGACATTTCTTATATAATATTCAATATGAAAAGGCATCTTTCTCCAGTTTCCCGTAGGACACAATTAAAATCAAATTACTTTTCTACTGAGGTACCTAGTACTATACCTTGCAATATGAATTATTCATATAAATGGCTACAAAGGCATACAAATGTTCCTCTGGAAAACTTATATTACAGAGAATAAAATATGCTACAAATCAAGGCTTAGTTTAATGTTAAATAAAATCTGTTACCTCTTTTAATGACCTTATTAATGAAAACCTGGAACCTCTGGATATCAGCTACTGACGGCATTAACTTAGGTAGTTAATTAATAAAGACAACCCATTAAGTCGAACAGCATATGGTCCAACAACAATTACAAAAATCACAAGGACAACCACTAGCCTCTTTCTTAAACACTCAACAGTTAATTAAAAACCACAATCAAGCATTTCCGCTTTAATAAATTGTTATATAAACATTCTGATGTTGTGGTTTACCCTGGCCTAATGAGGCATTCTGATTGATTTCTAGTGTAACAGAGAAAGATACAAAGCTGAGTCATTAACACAGAATTCCCTTGTGAAAAAAGACAAACCAGGATGATTAAAGCAATGTTGAAAGGGCTGAAAACCCTGAAATTGGACATAATTTTTTGCCCTTTTATCTGTCTGCAAAGTCCATGTAATTCATTACATGTGTTAGTTCATTTTAGAAATACTCCATGGCATTTTTTTCTCTTTTAAAAAATGCAAATGGTTGAAATCAAGGAAACATGTATCAAACCATTTCATACAGAGTATAACTGAAAATAAAAAAGGAAAAATATTTCAAATTTCTAAAACAGAGGACATGCTTTAAAATATTCATAAGCTTTTAAAAAATAAACTAGATCCTCTTACTCTGATGAAAGCTAAAGTGAGAACTAGGCTTCAATCCTATAGGACCATATCAGGTATCAAAAATTTTAATGTAAAGAACACAGACTTGGTGTTAAAATAACAGTGTTAAGCAAATCACTCATATATTTACTGGATCTTGAAAGATGAATAAAAAAAACTTCCAAACATTAAATAGCTGATGGTTTAGCAGCAAAGACTAAAATGCAAATAATAATGTAAATGTAAATAAATAATGCAAGAATGTCACACAAACAAGGTTAACTAGTAGGGGAGAGTTAGAGGAGACTTCACTGAAGAGGAGACACTTGAATTAGCAGGAAAGAGGAATAAATGCAGCACTGAATGGGGTTGTTTTGAGGCCTAAATAATGATACATACATAAAAGCCCCTGGAACAGCTGGCAATAAACATTAATTAAATCATACTCCTTGTTCATATTCAACTTCCCCAACTCACCGAGCGTATGAATAGTCTAAGCTGGCCTGATCAATGCGGTTCCTGAGAATTCCAATGTCAGCTGATACCATGTCATCTAAAGCCTGCAGCTCCTTCTGGATCCGCTTTAGTTTCATGGTCTCTGCCTGAGTTCTTTTGGATCTAGAAAATCAGGTATGTGAGTAGGAAAATTAGAACATTTTAAAACCATGTGTCCATATTCAATATAAATGAAAAAGCAAAATACTGTGTATATGTTCACAATTTATATTTTAGAAGTTAAAAAAAATCAGAAAAATTGAAATAAATGCTAGTTAACATTTGAATTTTCCAAATTTTGTATTTGCATATGTTTCATAAACAAAGCAACAAATAAGAACAAAAAAACTCAACAAAATAGTTCATTTGTATATTTATGTTCATTCTGTAAGGAGAATAAACACTAAAAGAATATATCTGCATTCTCTTCACATTGAAACATTCAACAGAGCTTTCCAAATTTCCAGTCTTTAATTCTTCTTCTTGCTAAGCCCATTTTTATTTGTTTGATACTTACCTGATATTAAGAACGGATAGGTGCCTATACTAAACCACATCTCTTTATACATCTGAAAACATCTATTTAGTTTTAACTTTCTTGGGATCCATTTCCCCAAACTTTTATTGCTTTGGTTCTTGTTCTCTAGGACAATGACTAGTCCCCAAAATTTTTTATGGAGTTGAACATCAAAACACTCATTTTCCTTATATAAAAGTATATCCAACCTCATCATCTCTCAATCCCCTCATCCAAGTACAATATATACCTAAGAAATGGAACAAGCAAATACAAAAGCAACCCTTTAATCATGATTTCACTCATTTCAAATTTACACACACATTGTGAAGGAAGAAGAAAAATCCCCACATAAATCCACTATGTTACATAGCACATTCTCTTGATTTCTACTCTTATGCATTTACCTTTCCTTTCTGCCTACAAAAGTTCACTTAACAGTATGATTCTTTTACTTCAAGTACTTCATTGTCCATTTATTAATAATTCAAACATGTTATATTTACTTACACTTCTCTTTATACTGGTGCTTTCTGTCTAAAATCAAAAGCACTTATGAGAACTGCCAAACCTGTACATCTTTTTGTAAAACTACAGTAAATAGCCTTCCCATCTCTTAGAAATTGAAGACTACTAAAATGCTTTAATTATTTTAAAATAATCACCTATTTAAAAAAAGAGGGCACTGCTCTTTTATCTCTTGGTTTTTTCCCTTGAAACACAGTCACTCGGTGAGTTGCATATTTCCTACGCTTCAAGAAAGATCAAGGAGTACCAGCTGTAGAAAACGAAAACCATCATTTTTCAAACACACTCGCTCCTCTTGTAGACAAAATTCTGAAGTACCCTTATACCCATCCCCTTCTGTCCACCTCTTCTCCTGCCCCTACACATACTCTAGCCTCAAGCAGTAACAGTCTGACAGACTTTTCTGGACGTCTAAAGAGAAAATGACACTAAATGCTCCCTTGCATTTAGTTTTCACCATTTTCAACCATTAATTTATTGACTAAGCTTAGTTTCCTAATGCCGCAGGAAATTAGACAGAAACAACAAACTAAAAGGAAGGGCAGCAAGAGTGATGGGGGATGGGAAGAATGAGACAAATGGGAATGTTGTTGTGTGGGGCTGGGACAATGCTGTAAATGTTAAGGGGCTGCTGATAGACACTGGAAGGTGAAAACAAAACTGAATCTCACACAGTGCTCATAATGATGACCCTGAGTCATCAATGAAAAGTTAAACTATATCACATATCTTCTACTTGTGGAGGTGGGGCAAATTATTTAAGAAAAATGCCCACAGGAAACACAATTAAGATTCACAGGAGTATGTCACTTATGTAGAAAACCTTATTCCTCTATACATCAAATGATTAAGGCCTCCCCACATAAAAATTAAAACTTGCATTCGTTGCTAATTTACATATACTGATGGCTATTTACTGCTTCCCTTATGAATGTGTAGATGGTTAAAACTAGAAGCACTAATGAAGGTCTTTAAGTTTTAACTGCAACTATATTTACAAATTTAACATGCCCTATGCTTAAAAAGTCCTCCTTAAAATAAGTTATAACTGGAATTTCAGCATCACTTACAAAAGATAGTTAGTTTAGTTAGCCTTAAAAGTAATGGCTGAAGAAAAAAATCAGTTTATTAGAAGAGACAAGGGAAAATAAATACAACACATGACAGAACTGGTTACAAGTTACAAACAGCCTCTCCTGGTTCAGGTGCCTCACCTTTCCGCAATAGCTTTAGCCAAAAGAGCTTTTTTACGTTTATTTTTCTCTTCCATTAGCTGTTGTTCTTGTTGGAGGACTTCCCAACGAGACTTTTCTTGCCTGGGAGCAAAAAAAGCATAAAAATGGGTTTATGAAAGAAACTGCTACCCTATCCCACCCCTTACCACTTTCAGTCCCCTAAGTATAAAATTTAATCAAGAAGATTTATGTATACGTTCTTTCAAAAGTCCTCTTAAAAGAAACCCATCTGCAGTTCATTATTTTGTTCTAATGGGAACAAAGACTATAATCTGAAGTAAAGAGACTTACATAAATTGGACCTCTGAAATCCATTATATGTATATAATCTAAGAACCCACAAACTGGAAGCCAGAATACTGTGGCATGTTTTTAGGAGTACAAAGAAATTTGTGTAAGTTAATTATGTATTATATGCAGAATGGAGATTAAAATAAATTGGTCTGTAGCTGACGTCATATTATTTATACCTTTTACAGTTTTCTATAAAGTCTCCACCACCTTAACATGCTTCAGACAATAACCAATGTTTATTTCATGTCAATATTTTCTTTCAATTTGTTCACTTTTTCCCAATTCTTAGACTTTTTTTTTTTTTTTTTTTTTCCTTTTTGTGGAGAATGGGGTCTCACTGTATTACCCAAGCAGGTCTCGAACTCCTAGGCTCAAGCTGTCCTCTCTGCCTTGCCTCTGCCTTCCTAAGTGCTGAGATTACAGGTGTGAACCACTATGCCCAGCCAAACTCAGACATTTTCAAACAAATTAAAACACGAAGACTAAGACTGGAATGCTGGGCTAAAGAAAAAATTCACAGATCTGAAAACATGCATTATCTTACAATCTGTCCAATTCTAAAATAAATATATTAAAACTTCCCATAAAGTTACGAGCTTGATGTCAATTCAAATTAAATATGGAATTGGCAAAGCTATTTATTCCTATTACTCTCACTTCTTATAGCCATTATATCACGTGTCTATTCCCAAATCTAGTAACCACTTCTAAACTTGTTCTTTTCTCTCCATTCCTACACCTTTCGCCTTAGTGTTGGGACTGGTCATCTCTCACTTCTATTGTAGGCATCTCCTCATCAGGCACCTTAGTTCCACAGCTCACCCTGCACTCTCCCCCAAATGATCTACAACAGACATCTGGAATTTCTCTAACCATTATTTTGATTGAGGTCTTTAACCCTCAGAGAGCTTAATGGTATCTTGCTGCATCAGTGAACTTGCTAGGCAGGCAACCCCTGCCTCAGATCCTTCCTCACTTCTTTAATTTTCTACTATTCATCTCCTGCTTCTGATTCTTCCTCATTTCTTTTTTTTTTTTTTTTGAGACAGAGTCATTCTGTCGTCTTGGCTCACTGCAACCTTCACCTCCCAGGTTCAAGTGATTCTTGTGTCTTGGTCACCCAAGTAGCTGGGACTACAGGCATGCACCACCACATCTGGCTAATTTTTTTGTATTTTTGGTAGAGATGGGGATTCCTCATATTGGCCAGGCTGGTCTCAAACTCCTGGCCTCAAGTGAGGCACCCACCTCAGCCTCCCAAAGTGCAGGGATTACAGGTGTGAGCCACCATGCCTGGCCTCCTTCCTCATTTCTTTAATTCTCTGGCTTATCCTTTGCCACCTCTCCCAGAGAAATTAGGTTATTACTGCTGAGCATTCTCTACTACACAGCTTCCCTTTCTCCTCCTTAAAACCTCAGAATTTCTCCTTTGCATGAATGGTTTTAATGACACGTCTTTTATGAAAATTCTTCCCAGTATCTAAAAAAAGAGTAAATTTCCCTATGACATCCAATCTGAATTGTCCAGCTCAATGTAAATTCACCTCCTACTTGTCTCAGGCCTTTGCCGGTAAATTACACTTAGAGACACTTAAATGTATGCACTTGTTCAATGAAGGTCTCATAACTCATCTGGTTTTATAACTCTTGTCAAAATGATTTCTTAGTTGTAAACCCCTAGTGGTCAGGAAGCATTTTAAACTCACAGGATAAAATCTGGATCAGCAGAGATTAAAAAGATGTCAGAGATTAGAAAAAAATTAAAATGATACTTTGAAAGGAACTCAGAAAAGGGAAAACACAGACAAATGTCATTCCTTCTCCTCTGTGAGTGACAAATCAGGAGGAAACCAAGAAATCAGAGTATATATTAAAACATAAGCTATCAAATAAAACATTCGAAGAATTTTTAAATAAAAAAATGGCATCTTCCACAAGAATAGTGCAGCTAAATTAAATTGTGAAGGCTGTTTCTAATACAAAGACAGTAAAGAAAGAATATAAAGAAATCTAATGATGAAATTAGTTACATAATTAGTCCCCTAAATTTCCTTTACTCTCTCCTTTGACCATCCCTTCATGTCTCTCCACAAGTTCCAATTTCTGGGCCAATGGAAATAGTCTGGAAGTTGGAGAAAGGGGTCAATTTGGGGAGAAGCATTATGCAAAGAACTGCTTCTGCTGAGTGTAAAGGGCATAAACTTTGGATCCAGATAGACTTATATGTAAATCTCAATTTTACTACCTATTAGCAGTGTATTAGCTTTAGCAAGGTATCAACTTTTCTGAGTCCCAAATACCTCATCTATAAAGTTTAAATAATAAGCATGCATTGTAAGGTTGTTATGAAGACTAAATAACAAAACGCACAGATTGCCTAACAGTGTCCAGCTTATATGTAGGTGGTAGCTATTTTTCAAAAGTTTATTCACCACATTTCTAGGACTGAATATATGAGAGAGAAAATATTAAACAAATTATATTCCTCAAAACCCACTGGGGAAAAATGGTTTACATTAAAAAGTCTTATAGACGTTTCATATAGACTTACTAACAATTCCACTTTCTTTTTCTCCAATTTGCAATCTGGCTTTGGAGGTAGAATGTCAACATTGCTGTGATCATGGAAATTCTCAAGTCCCATTTCCTTTGGTTGACTTTCAATGCCCTGTGGTTGTCCATCACCAACAGGAGAGGTGAGAATGAAATGACCAGGAAGAGTAGGGGAAGAAAAAGGTGGTTTTTGAAGGTTAACTCTCTGTTTTGGTGCTGAAAGCAGCTGCTCTGGAAGTAATGAGGTTGACCCATCTTGAAGCCCAAGTTTTTGGCTTTGCTCTACAATGGCTTTTTCTCGCTGAAGTTGTTGTCGACTTTTCTTTGCAGGAAGACGTCGCTGTGGCTCAAATGGATCTATGTAAAAGAAAAGAGAGAAAAATTTCTCTGTATATTATATAATTATAATTCCTCTAAGAAAATAAAAAATTAACATTAAACTTTGATAATTCCAGTGGTTCTCCCAAACTATTCTCTTTCTTAAAAGTCTACGGAAAACCAGCCATCTTCCTTAGAGTTTCTATAGTTGTCAGATCATAATGTTAATATTTAACAGAAACTGCCCGTCTCTTAACTTATTTTGAGAGAAAGGCCATCCGTCTGTGAGTTAGGTGAGTCACAAAGTGTTGCTTCTTTTTCAATTTGATTTCATAATTGTCAAAAGAAATCAACTAATTTTGACCAAACCAGGGAGATGATTAAATTATCTGGTTTTGAATTTGATTTATGGTTCTGTCTGCTCTCCCGAAACAAAATGGTGGTTGCATTTTCAAATGGGATTACCCTCTCTTAACTTTTAACAGCTTTCAGGGCACTTTGATACATATGTGATATATACAAAGATGCTATAACAGGAATGTAATTGAGTAAAGTCTCTTATTTCTAGGAAGGCTAGTTTACCTTAAATTGTTTTCCTTCATATTACAGAACAATCCAAGGTTGTACTCCCAAAGCCTAGTCAGGCTTTAATCAATGCATTCAAACTAATTTTAATAGTAGCCTGAGCAAAACAATAGAAGAACATAAAACAACTGGGGGGAAATTATTTTTAAGTTATAAATGAAATAATAATACCTCTTTTATACTTTTTGGACTGTCCACACCAGTGTTAACATCTTAGGGCAGACAATTGGAGAATCTGACTGACATTCATACTATATTTAATAAGCTGTAAAAATAGCATTCTCTTTAAAATGCCTGGGAAGTGAAATTCTGAGTCCTTGTAAATGAACAACTCAAATGGGACTTTGAAATTTGGCATGGTGACTTTCGTAGCAAAACCAGCTTATTATTTGAGTTTCCCAAAGTATAGTTGAAAGCTCTAGAGTCACAATTCCAGCTTTGCTTCTTCCCAGCTCAGTGACCTCAGGTAAGTCAATTATTTATTCAATATCTCAGTTTCCTCATCTATCAAACTGGTTGAAAAATTAACCTGCTCTACTCAATGCATGAAGCTGTTGTAAGAATTAAATGAGACAGGAACAGAAAATATTTTTTAAAAGACTGAAGTACTATCAAAAGCAAATGTTATTGTTGAGGTTAGCCAGAAACATAAAGTATCCTATATCTTGCAACAAGAACACATTCTGGGCTCTGATCTTTATTCACACCATCAAAAATACATCACTTAGCCTGCTTACCTTCCTGTTGAACTCATTAGCTGAATTATTAATAGTTCCTCTGAAATTCAGGTAATAACACATTTTATTTTGTATTTTTACAGAACCTACCTACAAGACTGAAAATGCTAATCTTAAACAATAAGCAAATCAGGCCACCTAAACACAGAATATACTGTTTCCCACACTGTGTATTAGGGGCTGCAAATGTCAAGGAGACGGGTGAACTGAGAAGCATAAGTCTAGTGTAAAGGGGGCAATTCATAGTCGCCTTTAGACAACTGCTATCATTAAAACATTTAGCTCAGTATAGCCAGTATTTTGATTTTTATGGTTACAATTTAGACTTTATGCAAAATATCTTGATTTTTAAATGTAGGGAACTATATCCATCAGGAAAATCTAGATTATGCTGTAGGGACAAATCTTAGTGGTTTTAAACCACAAGGTTTATTTTTCATTAATGCCATGTGCCAACTAAAGGCTAACAGAGAGGTTCTGCTGATTAGTCTCTCAGGGCTCTAGGCTGACTGTACAGTCAGTATTCAGTGTTGCTGGTCACCACAACACAGGGAGAAGAGCTCAGGAAGGTCTTGCTACAGCAATTAATTGCTCTGTCCCACTAGTGACATAACACTTCTGCTCACAATTCAATGGCTCATCTAGTACACGGACCTACCCCCAAACAAAGGCAACAAGCACAGCTGGCTTGGCAAACACCACAATGATTATCATCATTGTTAACTTAAAAGAAATGTAAAGACTGGATAAAATAAAGAGATAGAGAAGAAAGAAAGGAAAGAAAGAGGGAGGGAGGAAGGGAAAGAAAGGAAGGCAGGCAGGAAGAAACGAGAAAAAAAGGAAGAAGGGGGAAGGAAGGAGGCAAAGCTGAAAAGCCACATACATTTTTGGGTTAAATTAAGCCAATGGGCTAGCAGTTTGTGATAAACGCTCCATATCCTTCATTTAAGCCCTGCTCCCTCCACCCCAGAAAACTATCATTTGAATCACGTTGATTATTCCCTTCCTTCTCTAATAGTCATATTGCATCTACGAATATTTCTAAAAAGTGTTTACTTAGTTGTTTTAACTTTATAAAAAGGGTTTTGTGCTGTATATCTATTTTACTTAATACTACACTGTCAATAGTCATTCATATTGTCCACGTTGCAGCAGTCATTCATTTTGTTGTGTAACATTTCATCATGTCAATAAACTAGAGTCTACTGATCTTCTTCCACTGATGGACATTTAGGTTGGTTACAGGTTTTTGCTTTTGTAAATTTCAATATTGTGTCTCTTATTTTACATGTACAAGAATTTGCTTGGGATATTATATAAATAATAATATTTAGAACTATTGGGTCACAAAAATGTTTTCCAAAGTGTATTCCCTCTAGCAATGTATAAGATACTGTGGATGCACTTTCTCTTTAAAATACAATACTGTCAGATGTTTTAATTTTTGTCAATCAAATGGATGTAAAATAGTACCTCACTGTGTTCTTGATTTGTAATTCTCTGCTCCTTGGCGGTGATCTCTTCATATTTCCTTTTCTAGGAAATATCTATTAATGTTTTTTGTTGACTTTTCTTTTGGCTTGTATTTTTCATATATTAGCAGAAAACAATTAGAAAATACAATCAAAAGAAAGATATTTCAATAACAGAAATTATCACTTATCTAGGAACAAATATAACCAAAGGATGTTTTTAATACCTTTACAGGGAAAACTCTAAAATTTATTAAGAGACTTTAAAGAAGTACTCAATAAATGGAGACATATACCATCTTAGTGGTAATGCTAATAATATAAAATGAAATTGATCTAAAGATTCAATGAAATTGCAATCCAAATTCCTAATGGGTTTTCCATTAAATTTGGTAAAATTATTAAAATTTGTATATGAAAAGATAGAAGATCAAGAATAGTGGCCAGGTGTGGTATCTCACATGTATAATCCCAGCACTTTGGGAGACAGAGGCAGGTAGGTCACCTGAGGTCAGGAGTTCAGGACCAGCCTGACCAATATGGTGAAACCCCATCTCCACTAAAATACAAAAATTAGTCAGGTGTGGTGGTAGATACCTGTTAACCCAGCTACTCTAGAGGCCGAGGCAGGGGAATTGCTTGAACCTGGGAGACAGAGATTGCAGTAAATCAAGATTACACCATTGCAGAAGACAAACGGAGACTCTGTCTCAAAAAAAAA